CAGGAGAAGGGTGGAGGGGGGGGGGGTGTTGACTTACTTATTCTAAGCATTTGTTAAAGTGAGTTTGTAAATACATCTACGAACTTGAGCTGGATTGTGACCTTTGGATCAAGAGGTCAAAGGTCAAGGTCATCAAAGTATTTCATAAAGAAATATAAAACTAACGGTCATATCAAGTATACAAGTCATTTGAGCATTGCACGCGCGCGCAGGTGCAATGCATGAAAGCCATATCATCTTGACTACACTTTTAATATGTTTCTATTCTTTGAGTTTCAAAACGTTTCATCAAAAATTTACGACTATATCAAGTAAATCGATTATTTAAGGCATTGCACGCGCACACGTGCATGCATGTCCTTGCATTCAAGTTTGATAGTAGCATGATGTAGGAATTCGTCATATCTATTCATATTCTAAATTTCATCCTGTTTTGTTGAGAATCAAAAAAGTTATAGGCATTTAAAGTTTAAGCCAATCAGATCGCAGCACACGTGGATGCGCGTGGATTCTTGAAAATTTTTATATATCATATTGTAGAACCTCCTAAAGTATGCCTATGTTTTAAATTTCATAGCATTTCGTCAAAAAACAGAAAAGATATTGAGATTTTTGTTTCAGCCAATCAGAGCAAAGCGCACGTGCATGCGCGTGAGTTCGTGCTTATTTGACAGTGTCACATTATTTACACTATTGATATATCTTAATATAATGAGTTTCAAATCATTTCATTAAAAAATGTAAAAATTATAGCTATATTAAGTATATCAGTCATTTCACTCATATCACGCGCACGCACGTGCAGGCGTATGCGCGCAAAATGACCTTCGTTCCGCACACCTACACTACACACCTATTAACCCTAAAAAGGTTTTAGCTCAGTTGGGTGAACAGTTTCTGAGAACACTCGCGGACAAAAAAGTACCGGAGAAGAAATAAGAAGAAAAAAGAATAATAATAATAATAAGAAACAGAGTAAAAACAATATGTTCCCAAACTTCGTTTGGGGAACATAATAATAATAAGAAACAGAGTAAAAACAATATGTTCCCCAACTTCGTTTGGGGAACATAATAAGAAACAGAGTAAAAACAATATGTTCCCCAACTTCGTTTGGGGAACATAATAAGCAGGTAAGAACAGCTTAACTTATTCTCCAGGGGGAGGGAAAACTGGTTCATATGAAATGAACTCTACATGCAAGTCACTCTCTCAAAAAGGACTTTAATAAACATGTTTCTTCATCCCCAACATCACAGTTTTTGACAGTCATTTTCAAAGGAGGGGAAACATCTGCACATACAACCATGATCCATGTAGGCAATACTTGAAAAGAAGCCTGTGCAGAATTCAAAAGAAGGCCATTTTTTCCTCCCAAGTGGAAAGGATTTTTATTGTTTAGCAATATTTATGTTGTTTAGCAATTTACAAACTTTTCATAAAGGTCTCTTTATTTCATCACATGCAAGTAGCCATTTAGCACTGGATCAGATTTATAAAATGCAGTTCAATGTTTTTAATTTCTCCTTTTTAGTGTATTGTACAAGTATCTGAAGCCTTCCAGAAAATAGACAGCATGATCAGTTACCACCGAACTAAAGACTTGATGAAGGATTTCGTGTCCTGTGGATCCCTTTCTGAGCCCAATGACCAGATGGTCTTTGTCAACAATTTAGCAGGAATTTTTATGGGAGTGGTGCAATACAATAATGAAGTCCCAGATATGAATATCCAGAAACTTTGTGACATAATGACAGAGTCAGGGGACTCTTATGGCAATCTTCAGAAAATAAATCAGGTATTAAAATTATCTCAACAAGAGGCCCATGGGCCACATTGCTTACCTGAGCACTGTGGCTTGGAAAAGGTAGAAAATTGGTTTATTATTGAAAAGTTTTAATCCAAAAGAAGTCCCATGACTAATCATGGCTTTACTATTCTTGAGAAGATGATTTTTAAAGAATTTTTCTATATATTTCTATGTAAAACTTTGGTCGGCCATTGTGGCCCCGCCCTACCCCTGGGGGTCATGATTTGAACAAACTTGAATCTACACTACCTGAGGATGCTTCCATATAAATATGATCAATCATGGCTTTGTATTTCTTGAGAAGAAGATTTTTCAAGAATTTTCCTATATATTTCTATGTAAAACTTTGGTCGGCCATTGTGGCCCCGCCCTACCCTCGGGGGTCATGATTTGAACAAACTTGAATCTACACTACCTGGGGATGCTTCCATATAAATATGATGAATTATGGCTTTGCTGTTCTTGAGAAGAAGATTTTTAAAGAATTTTCCCATATATTTCTATGTAAAACTTTGGTCGGCCATTTTGGCCCCGCCCTGCCCCCAGGGGTCATGATTTGAACAAACTTGAATCTACACTACCTGGGGATGTTTCCATATAAATATGACCAAACATGGCTTTGTTATTCTAGAGAAGAAGATTTTTAAAGAATTTTCCTATATATTTCTATGTAAAACTTTGGTTGGCCATTGTGGCCCCGCCCTAACCCCGGGGGTCATGATTTGAACAAATTTGAATCTACTATCTGAGGATGCTTCCATATAAATATGACCAATCATGGCTTTGTTATTCTTGTGAAGATTTTTCAAGAATTTTCCTATATATTTCTATGTAAAACTTTGGTCGGCCATTGTGGCCCCGCCCTACCCCCGGGGGTCAAGATTTGAACAAACTTGAATCTACACTACCTGAGGATAATTCCACATGAGTTTCATCTTTCCTCGCCCAGTGGTTCTTGAGAAGAAGATTTTTAAAGATTTTTCCTATATATTCCTTTTTAAAACTTTGATCGGCCATGTTGGCCCCACCCTACCCCCGGGGATTATGATTTGAACAAACTTGAATCTACACTACCTGAGGATGATTCCACATGAGTTTCATCTTTCCTGGCCCAGTGGTTCTTGAGAAGAAGATTTTTTAAAAATGCCAATAATTTTTCACTAATTCATAATTATCTCCCCTTGGAAAAGGGCATGGCCCTTCATTTGAACAAACTTGAATCCCCTTCACCCAAGGATGCTTTGTGGCAAGTTTGGTTGAAATTGGCCCATCGGTTCTTGAGAAGAAGTCGAAAATGTGAAAAGTTTACGGACAGACAGACAGACGGACGCCGGACAAAATGTGATCAGAAAAGCTCACTTGAGCCTTCGGCTCAGGTGAGCTAAAAACTAAACTGGTATAATTTTATCCTATCCAACTTTTAAGCCAGTGTTGTCTTTCAGTTAATTTCTTTTATTTTGTTTCAATTTTTGGTTTTATTATGATGTATTATTAGTTGGTAGTAATTGATCCATTTTTGCAGACAAATATATTTAAATAAGCTTTGATTATTTTTTTTCTTGTATATAATATTTAAAATTCCTTGTAATACTTGTATAGCCACATGAAATTATCATTTTCATTTTTGGAGATAAAACTGGAAAACATCTGTTTCAAGTTCTGAGTTTCACCTACTTTGGTTTATATGCCGCAATCTGAATGCTGTACCTTAAATACTGGTGTACCTTAATCATGTGTATGGATAATATATGCAAAAATTACAATCATTTATTTTGAAGATGATGATGAAGACCACCAATAAAAGTTGTGTTGACAATACCTACTCCACTTTCCTGTCAGTGTTTATTAATCAGACCGTAGACAGACAGGCAGTGGGGCCCGGTATAAGACAGTGGATCTGGCAGACCTGCTCACAGTTTGGATATTGTAAGACATTGTTTTTGTTATAAGTACTATGCCATAATCAAAGCTTATTAGCAAAGGCCTTTAGCCCTTTTGAAATTATATACAATTCATGTAGACTTTGTATGATTTTTGTTGAAACTTCTCTGTACATGTAATTGACAATATATACTGGTAAAAACTTTCACATTAAAAAGAATTTGAAAAAAAAAAGAAAAAAAAAGGATCACTCCAAAAGTACGAGAGGTTATCAAAAAATAAAAACTTAAAGTTCATCAAAATCCTAATTCAAAATCCAAAATCATGATCATTTTTAATGGTGAAAATTTTTTCCCAGATCAGACCTGTGAAGATGGAACTACCTGTCCTTTCTCCAGACTTCTGACCCTGGAATCCAACCTTGTCGTCTGTAAAGATGTGTACAAGATCTCAGAAAACATGGTGCCTAAGTTTGTACAGTTCACCAATGACTATTATGGTGCGAACCATCCAAAAGGAACCAGGATTATATTTGTCAATGGTAATATTATTTATTTGAATTTGATTCATTGGTAAGGTTTAAATAAATAAATAGATATTTTCAGAAATGTTTTACCCATACATGAAAAGTTTGGAATGGATACAGGATGGGTATGCCTCTGCAATTGTGTCTTTTTTTGTTTGAGGATTTTTTATTTGTCATTTGATTTTCTTTCTTGATTAGGCTCCATAGACCCCTGGCACTTCCTGAGTGTCCTGAAGTCAGACCAGGTCTCTGGAGAGGTTGCTGTCTACATCAATGGAACGGCCCACTGTGCTGATATGTCTACTCATAAATCCACAGATCCAGAGTCTCTGAAGGAGGCCAGACTTGTAAGTCTGTTTTATATCATTCATTAAAAAACATATCCTCTGGCTATAGATCTACTTAAAAAATTGTAAAAGACAAATGTTAGATGTGCACATATAAACCTTCTCATCTGAAAGTACTTACATATAAATGTAGTTGTTAAGTAAGTCTGATCAAAAAGAGAAAAAAAATTCTTACACAATAAGAACATTGCTATGATCTCAGGAAAATTTCTCATTTTTGCATGCTAATGTTCAAGAAAGAATTCTATCATAGTTTTGAGGCCATGAATATTTTTGACATTTGTACCTATAAGAACAAGCAGCCCAGACAAGCATTGAGGCATTTGAGCCTGTTATGCTGTCTGATATAAATTAACCTGTATATTATAAATAAATACTTCGAAGCTTTGTCATTTGTTTTTAGATGATACAGAAAGAGATTGCATCTTGGCTGAAAGAGTCTTAAGGAAGTTTTGTTTTCTGAATTATCTTTCTTACAGTCCCATTGAATCCCTTCTGTGCCAATTATTAATGTCTGCTTTTAAAAATGTATTTTGATCTTTAGTAACTAAAATGTGTTTAATATTGAATAATTAGAGAAATATTGAAGAGAGTGTCACAGTAAATACATTTTTATGTAAACATATTTAAAAATGTTAACAATTTACAAATTGAGACTGAGATAGATATCTCATTTAAGATTTTGTGATAGTCCTCAGTGGGGACAGGTTTTCCAATATGAAAATTTTTTTAGCATGTGGAGATTATATCAAAAAACACTGGAAAATTATGTATACAATGAAAAAAAGTTAATGAGATGTTGGTACATATTTATATCCTCAAGTTTACAGGTATTGATATGTTATCTCGATGTATTTCTTTCTTTGCATTTTTGCTATGTTTATATATTGTAATGCATTATAATATTTATTACTGTTATACATGTATATTGGTATTTACATTTACATTAAAAGACCTCGTACAGGATCAACTTATTGTCCAATCAATCTGAAGTACATGTATTTTTTTTCATTGGTTATTGATGTTACAGAAATGAATGTGTGTTGTTTAATTCACAAATAAGTAGCATGAATCACTATAAGCAAGAGGATTACTTCCTCAAAACCGGTGGAATTTCTGTAGGAAGAAATTAAAAAATATACAGGATTTATCGATATTCATTAAGCCCCATTCCAAAACATACAAATAATTTTCCAAGTTTGTGTACAGGTTCCAAGTTACTTAAATTGCATGCATTCTAGAACTGAGTATACATTCCAAACCAATTTTCTTTCTGAAACTCAATCAAATATTCAGTTGATTGTTACCTAGAAAATGAAAATATAATTTTCTTAAGAAGGACTTCTTTTTTTCATTTGATTATGAGAGCTACTGTGAAAGTGCTTGAAGGAGGAGATCTCCTTGTCTAAGACTGATTTTAAAAATCTAACTACAAATGATATCCTAAAAGAATTTGTGCCACATCCTGCTGGAAGAAGGCAAACATGCTACAATGCCCTCTTAAGATGATTGTTCCTCAATTTATTTTATTCAATAAACAAGAGGCCCATGGGCCACATCGCTCACCTGAGAAGCTTTCGCCATTCTGTTCTTTACCAGATTTCCCCCTTGTAATACATATTGTGACCCCACCCTACCCCACTGATCATAATTTAAACAATTTGAAATCTACACTACCCCAGTATGCTTCCACATAAGTTTCAGCTTTTCTGGCCCAGTGGTTCTTGAGAAGATTTTCAAAGATTTTTCCTATATACTCCTATGTAAAAGTTTGATGGGCAATTGTGGCCCCACCCTACCCCCGGGGGTCATGATTTTAACAATTTCATATCTACACTACCCCAGGATGCTTCCACATAAGTTCCAGATTTTCTGGCCTAGTGGTTCTTGAGAAGATTTTCAAGATTTTTCCTATATATTTCTATATAAAACTTTGATTCCCCATTGTGGCCCCGCCCTACCCCCGGGGGTCATGATTAGAACAATTTAGAATCTACACTACCCCAGGATGCTTCCACATAAGTTTCAGCTTATCTGACCCAGTGGTTCCTGAGATGATTTTCAAAGATTTTTCCTATATATTTCTATGTAAAACATTGATTCCCCATCGTGGCCCTGCACTACCCCCGGAGGTCATGATTTGAACAATTTAGAATCTACACTACCCCAGTATGCTTCCACGTAAGTTTCAGCTTTACTGACCCAGTGGTTCTTGAGAAGAAGATTTTTAAAGATTTTTCCTATATATTTCTTTGTAAAACTTTGATTCCCCATTGTCGCCCTGCCCTACCCCGGGGGGTCATGATTTGAACAATTTAGAATCTACACTACCCTAAAATGCTTCCACATAAGTTTCAACTTTTCTGGCCCAGTGGTTCTTGAGAAGATTTTTAAAGATTTTTCCTATATATTTCTATGTAAAACTTAGATTCCCCATTGTGGCCCCGCCCTACCCCCAGGGGTCATGATTTGAAAAATTTAGAATCTACACTACCCCAGGATGCTTCCACATAAGTTTCAGCTTTAGTGGCCCAGTGGTTCTTGAGAAGATTTTTTAATGACCCAACCCTATTTTTATCTTTTCTTGATTATCTCCCCTTTTGAGGGGACATGGCCCTTCATTTTAACAATTTATATTCCCCTT